AACCACAGCCACCCGCTTGCCCATGGCGGCCTCCAGCCGCCGCGCGCACGCCCCTCGAGCCCGGGCAGAGGCCTCTCAAGCCAGCGAGCCAGGGCCCCTCAGCGCCCTCCCTCCTCCTTCTCCTGGTGCCGCGCCTGCGCGCTGGGCTCCGGCTCGGCCTCCATGTTGGAGGTCGCCGTGGGGCTTTCGGCCTCAGCGACCAGGCGGTCCCGCAGCCGACGGTGGTTTTTTTAGTGATACCCTAACTCGTCAAAACCACATACCCCTTTTCGCTCCTTTAACTTCGTATTGTGCTCTAGGACGCAGCCCCGTTTTAACAGCAAAACAAAAGAGTTTCAAAAACTAAACTGAATTTCACTGACTCCCATCTCAGTCATTAAGGCATTTCTCTGGGGAACCAAAGAGCTTCCTTGGGCCCTAGTCTCCTCATTACAACTGTGCACACAAGTGCCACACTGGAGACGAACTGTATTTAATTTTAGATCTCTCAGTTCTTAGTCCTTAAATTTTCATGAGGTGCTTCTCTTATAATAGTAAGAAACTTGTGCTTAATGATGAAAACCTACAATTTTACTGGACCAGAGGGCTGAAAAGCTGGATCCTGTAGAAAAAACGGGTTTATAAAGGGGACTTTGATATGTTTCTGGGTTATTAGTGAGACAGCTGCTGACTCACAAATTGCTGGCGTGTGAGCTTTTTAGTTGAAGTATATTTATTCATAAATTTGTTGTTTGCTTTCTATGTTAAAATATGGTACATGATGTAACAGGTTCCATGAGAAGAAAAAAATGGGAGTACAGTGCTGCAGAGGTTTCCTATGGGATGCGATGAGGTGAGATACAAAAATGTTACTAAAATGCAAAAAATCGGTAGCTTTGCCACCTTAGTCATTTGACCTAACATCTTCAGCAACCACAGCAGTGCCTGAATGGATACTTAATAGTCCAAACTGCAAGCATATGCTGAGCACGGGGCTAAAAACCTGTTCATACTGTATTTCTTGTTTGCCTAACGAGCAGTTACAGCACCTTCGTTATGTCATTTCACTTCCCTGCATCTCTGTTTCATAGAAGGGATAAATTATCCTTCCCTTATTTCATAAAGCACTTCCAGAGTTACTCATCTAAAACTAGGAATTACGGCTGTATTCCACACAGATGAATCACCTTTTTGAACAGATGGAAGAGCTGGCATCTTGTACTACACTCAAGCTAGGAAAGACATATTGAGTAATAGCACACTTTATTTTATAAAGAACAAAAGCAGGGCTTTACTATAAAGGGGACACAAATAACATGCATGAGATTAAAATGAAATATGGAAATACATGTATGTATAGATTATGTATATGTGCCTGAAATTAATGTAATGCCGAATGGCATGGATTTTAAAGAGAAATAGTATTGGATCAGGCAGCAATGAAGTGAGATACAGAAACATTGCTGAAATTAACGATTTTATTAGCTGTGCCATCTTTGGGTTTTCTGAAAATCCTTAGTACTCCCAGTGCTACCAGAACTGATTAGCAGCCTATCCTGCATTTTTGCGTAGGATTCAAGGTTTTCCACCTCAAATCTTGTTTTAATATAGCCTACCATAGTGCTGACGAGAGAAATGATCATTCTTTAGGGGCTCACATGCAATAAGCAGGGATATTTCTCTGGCTCCTGAGAAAGCACACCAGTGCTTTCACTGCTGATGCCAACTACCAGACTTAGCCTCCTGGACTCTGATGCCAGCATAGCCGGTTTTGAACTCTACAGACTTGGGAAAAGCTGTGTTTACTGCAGGGATGCTGCTGCAAACCTGTCCTCCTCACTGTGTCTCTGAGCCAGAGTTCATCTTCGTTCTTACTATCATTATAAAAATGAGAGAATAAACTGCTATATAATCCCTGTAATGTAAATTGTTACAACCAGAATATGGTTGAAATGGGTGATGGGTAGACAAATTTAGCTTGAAGCCCTGAAAGACTTCAGACAAGGCTTCTGGGCAACCAGAAGAGGCTCAGGGCTACCTGGTTGATCACAGCAAAAGCCTTTCTGCCATTTGGTGAGCCTTCACCTCATCGTGCGGGGTCCAGAGCCAGAGGCCACCGCCCTTGGTGGATTCTGGTTGCAAGGATGGGCATTAGGTAGGTGTTTTAAAGCAGCTCCAAAGCAATAATTGAAAGCAATACCTGAAACAACATCCCGGGCTGCTTACAAATACGTAGAAGTAGTTTAAATTAAAAGAATGCGTAGCTGTCTGGGTCTCCAGAAAACTGAAATCGTGGTTCAGTCGAATGACGCTTTTCAGGAATGGTTCAGCACAGGCTGGTTTTCCACAGGAGGAGGAAAAAAACCTGCGGGTAGCCCAGCGCCCTCCGCCCCTCCTCACACCCTCCAGCCCAGGCCCTCAGCGGGCACCTCCGGCCGCCCAGGCCCTGTGGCGGCGGGCGGGGGGGG